CTAACAGTTAAGATTTGTAAGTGGCAATTACATATTACTTTTAGTTAAACCCTGTAACTTTCAAATAAACATCGAGTATAAGCTTGTAAAGTGTTTCAGTAACTTGATCTGCAAGGGCACAACTGAATACTGACTTCACAGTGAAATATTTTGATATAATTATTTTCTTTATTTGTAGGTTAAGTATACGATTATTTATATATATATATATATATATATAAGTGCAGGTTCCTTCAAGGATTCTACACAATTAAATACTTTTGTTAGTAATTTTCTTATACAACTTGGGGTTTCACATATGCAAATGGAGGTGACAGAATTACAAATTAACGACTCTTTGAAAGATGTTTTTTCTGAATTAAATCTAATTAAATTTTATGACCAACTCATCTATTTTAAATGTTCCAACCATCAAGACTTAATAATTACAGCACTTTATAGAACTTACAACTGTAAGCAAGTGTTTTTGGTTATGAACCATAAAAAAATAAATATTGTTCCTGGCTTACTAATGAACACTTAATTGCTATTTTATAAATTTCATCTCCCAGTTTTAAGGCAGATATCCACAAATTAAGAGGCAACATCCAACTTCAGAAATCTCACTAGGTTGATATTAAAACTCATTTTATTAAAGTATAAAATCTGAGTAGTGTCTTGATATTTTTGTAAAATTTAGTAATTGGGGATATCCAGTTTGTTTTATTTTTCCTCTCTTAAAAATGCTATGGTTATTAACAGTTTATGCCAAAATAACATATTAACTGTAATGATTTCAAATAAATATGTAACAATCATGAAAAAATAACAAATGTACCTATGCATATATTAATTTTTTTCTTATCTGCTAGTCATGCAGCCTGCATTATGAAGTCAGAAGTTGAATATGGGCCACCATTGCCAAAAGGTTGCCATCCCCTGTGCCATAGCAACCAATGCTCTCGTTTTCTTCCATAATCCTATTGTGTTGTCTTGATCAGCAAGAGTTCTGGGATCAGCCTGGTAGCACTGTTTCATTGATGCAGTCATTCAATCCATACCACATAATATATGGCTAATTCTGTCACCAATTCTCCATTCTCAAATTCTTCAAGTAAATTGAGGTTTTGTTTCACAGTATAATTTTCTTATCTTTGTCTTACAATTTTCTTATTTTCATCTTGCTTAGGATCCATAAGTGTGAACTGTACCAGCAAATAAAACTACATAGTGTGGCCATTCTTTATTTTTCCCAGCATGTTTTATCTGTATCATCCCTATTGTCATAATGGATTCATCTTGTTCTGGATAGGGACTTGTAGGAGGCTCTTGTAAACATGTTAATGATCAGTGTGACTTCAGGTTCTTATGATAATTAACAATTCCCCCAAATTTTGTGATATATTAATAAATAATAATTTCATTCACAAGGTTGTCATAGGTGTGTACTTATTGTCATTACACAAAATAAATGTTTGGTATAGTGATTGTATATAAAACAATTTTGTGTATGAGTAGAACCTTTCTTGGGTTTATTAACTGTGGATTATATAAATGCAAGAAACCAACCAGCAACAACAACGTAAATAGTGAACTACCTTCTAATGTTAGTAAAACACTTACAAATGCTGTGTATTTGAGTCCAGGTTTAAAGTATTCTGATGTCTTTATGAGCTCCATCTTGTACTTGTACTTGTGCACCATAACCTCAAAAGTAGTGTTCTGTCGTCTGCCTGTGAGAGCCTCTTCTACGGCAACATCAATTTGTATTGATCTTTCATAGTCATCACCCAATCTTAAATACAAAATTTATAACATAACATACAGATCAACAACTTGATGACAATGAGTAAATCCATGTCTACACAAAGAAGTAAATTAAACTTCAGTGTGTAGGCTACATGACTGTTACAGCCATTTAATGCAATTAATCTTTTACATCTTTTCACTCTATATGTTACGGATTTTGGACCATCTACAGTGATCACGCCACATGTGTAGTAACAATTAACCAGCTACCTGTTGGTAGACCCCATATAATTACAGACATTTAAAATAATTTCCATTAATCCTTTGGAATCATTGATATTCTACAAAGAAGAGGGACACGATGAAAATTTTAAAAGACATGCAATATATTTTGTAGTTTAACAAAGTTTTCAATAGCTGAGACTATATAGCGTCAAATGAGAGAATGGTAGTCAATAATGAATTGGAAAGGCTGTGGAAGGAAGTGGGCACAGCCTAATTGAAGGTACTAGCCCAGAATTTGGCTGCACAGATTAAATAAAACCACAATAATATCAGAGAGGATAGCTGGTCTCTGGGCTGATACCTAAACCTGGGACCTCCCAAATATGAAGCAGGAGTGATGACCACTTGACTACGTTTAGTGTCAAGCAATATAGATTGGGCAATGAATACAGAATATAATAATATTTTTAACAAGTAATGATGGTTGGTTTATAAGTCGGTTGGTAGGTCGGTCAGTCAGTCAGTTGGTTGCTCATCATTTGCTGCTTCTAAGGGATTTTTGGATTTAAGTGATTATATTTGTGTGTGTTGTTATAACCATTGCCATAGCATGGTGATCATTTTCTGTTGAGATATTTTGGGTTTCATGAGATAATATTATAACCTTTGCTATGGTAATGCTGTTAAAGGAGGCCCACTACACAAAGTTATTATAACCTCAATATAAAATCATCATTTGGGATTGTGATACATGAAATCATATTATATTCTTTAATAAAGCAAAGATAAGCAATTTAAAACTAATTTTGTCACACAACATTACTTAATTTTAATTCTTATATCCTGCTTTGTGGAGACAATACTCTGGGAAAAAAGGCTGTTCAATCCTTCCTGGCCTGCTATATACATTAATCGGTACAGAATACAGAAAACTATATGTTTAAGTGTTAACACTTCAGAGATTTCATAATTATGGGAAGGCACGTAATGATTTTAATTTTATATGCTCCTTGGTTGGACTATTCAATGCCTTACTCAAGTACTATGACACAAGAAGATGGCCTAAATGGACCAAAGTATATAGTGTGGAAGGATGTAAAAGACTGGCTGTATATAACACTCTAATATATACTGAATATGATACAATGGAAATGGATGTCAACACTAGGTGAATTGAACTTACTTTAGATCCTTTGCAATGTCAAATTCAACATTTACTTTTCCATCAATAGGTACAACTTTACGAACTGGATTCTGGAAGATAGGCTGAAGTAAACCTGAGTAGTATGTAGGGTATATTGTCACAGTTGCTTCCCCCTTCACTGCTTTACCATAGGTATACCTGGTGGACAAATGACTCATATTCAATTATTACATTCTGTTCAGTGAAATGCATTCTGGAACTAATTTTCCAATTTTAAACAAAGAACAACATGAAGAGTAATAATTTATTTCATTGCAAACAGTATCTCTGAAAGTCTTGATTGTCTTTGCTGTATATTTCAGATGCATTTTGTATATGTATATACACACATTTCAGCTCACTCCTCTACTTTATAAGAAAATATAAGCTTATATTATAGGTTTTATCTTAAGTACATTGTAATTTCTGATAACTAATATATGCAGATGGAAAGATTTAACTACTTCCATTACTATCACAAACGAATTCAAGTTAAAAATGTTATGTAAAAATATATTATCCTCAGTATACAAAGAAAAGACATAGTTTTGGTCCCATTAATTATGAATTCAGTTTTATTTTTTATGTTCAAGAGGTTGCATTATTTATCCCAAGAGAATCAAATATAATTAATGTAAGCATGTTTAAGAAAATACTGAATTAGGAAAATAGTTAAAGGAAAGAAGCCACTGCAAAGTTTTTTCCAGACTTTCTTCTGAAAATTTATTCTCCTCTGATAAAAGCATAATGTGCAGTATGGCTAGTGACAAGGAAATGATGTACAAAGATAAAACAACTATAGGATGTCATACAGAAGGGAACCTCTATCCCAGCTATCAATCAAGTAAAGTAAAGTAAAGTTTCCGCCCCCGGGGAAAGGCCCCCGGTACCCATTGTAGAGGAGGCTGGGTGGGCCCCAGAGCCAGTCTGGAAGCAGAGGCTAGAGGAAAAATCCTCTGCCCCCATAGGGGATTGAACCCCGGTCGCCCAGCCCGTAGCTAGTCACTATACTGACTGAGCTATCCCGGCTCATTATCAATCAAGAGAATGTAAAAAAAATTAATGAGGATCTGTAGAATATCCTTATAGTACATCATTTCTGCAGCAAAAAACTTGAAATGACAACTACAGGGAGCATGAAACAATTTACTGTAGACATAATAACCAACTGAAGGAGGATGATTGTAAGCGAAAATTATGAAGGTCAGAGAATTACTTAAATTTCATCACTTTCTGAATGCACAATAAATTTCATGTGTTTACCAACTTTTACAGTTTACAGAAATCCAAAGTCAACTGTAAATAACAAAAATGACTTATTGTATATTGTTGGGCACGTGCTTTTAGCAAACTGTAAGGTTCCAGTTCATCATATATATAATAGTTTTATATTTTACAAACTATAAACAAAAACAGAGAAAAACATGCATAGAGTCTGCTAGTTATAATTGTAACTAATATTTCAGGACAAAGTAGAAACTGTATTGTAATATAACAGTTTAATTTCTGAGGAGCCAGAAATTGTTAGCTCTATGTGAGTTTAGGGTAAATATGTAAAGAGCTGTAGGAAACAGCTCATAGCATTGTAAAACCATGAAGCAATGGCCAGTTAATAAGGTGAACGTAAAATAAACCGCATTGGAACACATCTTACTTAGCATGAACAGTTGCCGCAAGATGAGAATCCTTGAATGTTGCATGAGCTGGTGCATCTATTCTAACTTCAAATTTGGGCAGCACATATTCTGCCACTTGAAATGTCTTATAAAAGTACTGATCCATTACAACAACTGTGATGTTCCAGTCACCTAGAACAGGGGACTGAGACAACTGTAGCTCTCCAGAGAAAACTCCTTTTGTTGTCAGAGCACGGCTCCACTGCTTAACTCTGTTTCCTTTTCCATCCTACAAACAAACATGATTACACTATATAGTATTTGTCAAGTAAATGTGTGTTAAACATTTTGTAGAAAACACATATTTAAAATATCAGTTATCACATAAAATCATGTAGCCTGAACAAACAATATGTATGTAATTCTTAATATATTTTCTATGCAGTAAATTTTCATTTTTATTTTCATGCATGATTCTTATATGGCTTCTGGGCCTGCCTCTGTTATAGCTGAGACATAGTATTTAAACAAAATAAAATCTGAAGCAGAGATATATAAAATATCAGTTATTTTGTCCACTATAAAAAATATTGATTTTCATTGTAAATAAAACTAGCATGAAAATTGTTTTATATTTTTATATTTCTCCATATACTGGCACCTGCTATTAAACTCATTATAAGTATGCTTTACGAGTACAAATGTCAGCTTGCAACAAACATCTAAGCTAATCAGAAATGTCTTGCCTTTCCTCCAATACATGTTATACAATAACCTTAAAATCTTTACAGATGACAGAACAAGTCTTCAAAAATTAAATACTTATAAATATTTGCCTACATTCTATGGATTTTTCTGATTAAATTTCTTGTGCTGCACTTTTTAACCATAGCTTCAAGCATCTAAGCTGGCATTAAAATGCTTGGCAGTGAGTGTGTTCTTAAGATCCGTAAAGCAGAATGCTCATCAGATGTTGCTTACATGCTGAATTACTTACAGTTATGTACACATCCATAGCTCCTGTAACACTTGGTTTCAGATGTGCATCAAGTACTATGGCTCGGAATTGAACTTTATGCCCTGGTTTATACACAGCTTTATCTGTCTGAATAAAGACAGAGTGACTCTTGTGGACATAGTCAAGTCTTGTAGTGTTCGTAAATTCCAAGCCATTTATACCACGAGCTGTAAGATTATAGGTTCCTGGGCCTAAATCACCGATCTGTAACACAGAAATACCAAATTAGTGAAAATGAACTGAGAGAGGAAAGTGAGAAAATAACAACTCAGTCCCTCAAAAACACTGATAAATTGAAAACACCAGATATATTTTCATCTCTGTAAACTATTTAGGTGAGAAGAATGAAGACTGATTACAATTGTAACAAACATATTATCCTAGCAGTTAGTAGTTATCTAAGAGGATTGTTGGTTGTTAATAACAGAACTGAAACTGGCAACTGCTAACAGCTAGAAGTAAATTAATGTCGTTGAACAACAAGTTTGTAGACTGATGCCAGTCCATATTAATGTTAGACTAAAAATATTTCAGGGAACTAAATAACCAAAGGGCATATGTGTATTTGAAATTATTGTCATTACAGCAAGAGGCATGTCAGATGAGATAATATGAATAGGATTCTGGCAAATTCAGAGGCTAAAGTATAAAGTTACTTTGTGCTTGCTCATTTACTTTTCAAGTTAAGTTTCTAATGTCAGAGTGTATCCAGGTCTTCTCATGCAAAGTTCTTTCAAAATTACACTAATTTCTGTACACAACAAATTTATTCACACAAATTAATTAGTAAGTTTATTTACAGGTTCATCTCACTTCAATTATATTCTGGATTTCAGAGTTTAGGAATCAATGCTTTCAATAAATGGCAGGTGGAACAGCATGTAGTATCAGCTGGAAGGTAAGGTGTTTGGCGTATAAATCAACTGGCTCAAAATGACTTCAAAGGATAACTAATAAAAAGTGCAAAGAAAAAGACTAGGAATGGTTTATCTCCATTGCTTTCTAAATTTTTTGTCTAGAATAATGTCATTGTGGGGGTCCGCAGTGGCCGCGCGGTCTGAGGCGTGGGCCTTCTGCCGCTTGGTCGCTGGGACCGTGGGTTCGAATCCCATTCAAGCCATGGATGTTTGTCCGCGTTTTACTGTGTTGTGCTGTCCTGTGTACAGGCAGAGGCCTTGCAACGGGCCGATCCCTCATCCAAGGAGTCCTACCAAATATCTATAGATCAAGCCAACGAAAAGTTGGGACCCGCAGTGCTGAGGCACTTTAAGAACAGGTCGTTCCCAGTATCCCAGTAATGTCATTGTAAAGTCCAAGAAATTAGGAGGGACTTAGACTGATGACAAAAGTTACATTCTGTCTGCTGATACCAAGACTGAGAATTTTAATTCATGAAGCTTCCCAAATACTGGCTGCTAAGTACAAGTTTTATTGTCAGAAAATGCAACAAAAATGTTCAATCATCACACTGTACTTCATGTGAAAATAACATGATTACTATTAACTAGTGTTTATTTTTGTGACATAAATGAGCATTAAAAATTGTTAATGCAAAAAGAAAGTTTCATGTTCTCATTTGGGACACAAATTGTGCTATGACATAAGAAGTAAACAATAACCTGTCCTGCAAAACTGTTTCAGGATCCGAGATGCGCAAAGTCTGCTAAAGTCAGAGTAAATCTCTAAGAAGTGAATTATAATTTCATTTGGCTCAAAGCTGTAACATTGTTAACTCATTATCATAGGTCTGTTTCCCAAAACTTCTTACTGTGAGAAGCTTTTAGTTGTTAACCTACAGAAAATAGTCTACAAATGTCACCAGACTTAAGATTTAAACTAACTTCACAATAAACTCTGCTGTCTAAATATTAAATGTTTTCTGCAGGTTAAACTTTTCACTTGCGTTCATTATTTTGGAAAGGAAAAATGTACCACCCGTAAACATGCTACATACAAACTTGTCTTACCTCCAGCTTGACAATATGTGTTGTATATGGCTCAACTGACACAGTCTGGGTAGCCTGAAAAACACCTCCGCCATGCTGTTTCCCACCAACTGCAACAGTCACAGTGGTTGGCTGTGATGTCTTTTGCGTTGTTACCGCTACATGATATTCAGAGTTTGGCCTCAAGACTCGTGGTGCCACAATAGTGTAGAACCTAGAAAAGAAATGCTTTGCTAATCAGCGGGTTGATTTACAGTCAACTTCACTATGTACAGCTACCAAACAAATAAAACAAGAAGTATTTTTGTGTTGTTTAGGACCATACCATGAAGGCATATGGGGGAATGTGGATAAAATTCTGCTCATTAACAACAGCACTAGGTGGAGGGGAATAGTCAGCTTATACTTCAACCACTTTATCCCTGAGGAAAGAGCCCCCAGTTCAACTGGATGGCAAGTTTACTGGGCCCCAAAACTGGTTTGGGTATGGTGGCAAAAACAAAAATCCACTTCCCTGCACACTTACATCCAAGATCCTGAAGGAAAATTTGGAACAATCATTGGAAAAACAATGATCAGACGATCCATAACGTTAGCTCGAAAACATGTTTGTTGAAGCAAGTACAAGAAGTAAAATGTCAAAAAGTCATTTGCGATGATCTTATGAGCACATTTGTCAATGGAGACTA